TGTTATTATTCGTTGCGGTTCTATGGGTGCCTGTATGGCAAGCTCGACAAGTTCCAGTTGCATCTGGGTAGAGGCATTCTGGCAGAGCAGTGATCGAGATATGATAAAAGACGTGACGGGTTGGTTTTTATTATGAATTGCCTATAATATCATAATCATGCTTTTCTTCTGACCTTTTCTAGGAGCCGGGAACGCTTTTTTAGGGGGATTGGCGGCAGGTTTGGCTCTAACATGTGATAATGTCTACGAGGGTAGAATTTACTCTTATTCTTTCCGAGTTGTGGTTAATTCTTGTGCAGCAATGTTCTATGCTTCGGTTTCAGCTTCTTTCGTAATTCAACAATTTGGTCTACCCTCCTTTCAATCGGAGAGCAATACATGGAATAGTGACTCCCCTCATAGACGGCTTAATCTATTAAAGAACCGTCATAAATAAAATACATTAGTTGCTGGGTATTTGATAGGACTTGACTTAAATGAATGATGTCCAAATTAGAGACGCTTTGTGACGTCACAATATACCTATCTCTCTCTTTCACCTTTACGTATGTTCTCTGATTCTCTTTTGGAGGAAACTATCACAAAGAATAATGAAAATATACAAAAATTAGACGAATACTATGACAAACTAAGGCGGGAGCTCGATTCCTTGAATTTAATTATCGTCAGTTCTCAATATTACATGTATCTTGTCTTTTTTTAGAAATTGCTACTTCTCAGGAAAATGTCGAAAATCTGTCGGATAACAATCTCCAAGTAGAGCCCGATGATAAATGGTGTTTGCATGCAGATGGAGCGTACAAGCCTATAGGTGCAATAGAGTCGGGGGATGTTTTAAAACCTGTATTTCCTTCCTCTCTTCATAAAAGAGGGCCTATACTGATACATATATGCAAAGATATCGCCATTTTATGAAGAAGCATCTCGTCGAGAAAGATATCTCAAGTTCATTCTTCCTAACCCATGTAAGCCAAATTCAAACTTATGGGTCATGTAAGACTTACTCGAGAAGTTAGTGCCGCCGAAAGAAAGTATTTGGAAAAGGCCATAATAAAGGAAAATAAAAGACTTGTGGCTTTGCACGCACAACAAAAGTTCTTTCGTTTGACCTTTTTTTATATAATTTCTCTAGCTAATTAATGCACGCAGCGGTCAAAATCCTCTTGAAGTCCTTCCAACTGAAAACGAAGCTTTTCTGGACAACCTCGAAGGTCTCGATTGGTCCGCTATTGCAAGAGATGTTGGTTCCTTCATATCTAATTTACCAACGTTTATTTTAACCCTTACTAGGTGTCTACTTGGAACCATCCTGGAGAACCTAGAACTGCTCAAGAATGTGAAGGTCGTTGGTTATCACTGCATCCAAAACTAAATTATGAAGCTTGGAGTGACGAAGAGACGAAAAATCTTCAAGAAATTGTTCAGAATAAACGTGCATCTGGAGATCTGGATTGGAATGCTGTCGCGGAAACTTTAGGAGTAAGGATATATTCTAGTCTTTTTAGTACTCAAAAGCATTTATCTCACACATAAATTAATAGACTAGCAGAACCGGTCTGGATTGTATTAGACAATATCAAACCTGCAATAAGACACCATTTAAATGGACAGACGAATTGGATAAGAAATTACTAGCCGCGGTGGAAAAATATGGTTATTCCAATTGGGTTTTAGGTATGTGAAAGGAAGGTGTATCGACTTAAGCCTAAACTCATGAATCATATAGTCGCCCCTGCTGTCTCGTTAGAATTATCGCCGAACCAATGTCAAATTCGTTATGAACGAACACTTAATCCAGCTCTCAAGCATGGTAAATTCACTCCCGAAGAGGATGAGCTGCTTCTAAAGGCTATAGAAATTTTCGGATGCGAATGGAGAAAGGTCGCCCAAATGATCCCTGGTAGGGGAAATACGCAGTGTCGAAGTCGCTACTTGAGTCTAAATCGGCAAAAGGAACGACAGGTTATTAAGAGAACTGAGAAAACGTCAACCCCAACACCTGCTCCTGCTATCGAGGTACCGTCTGGTAGTAATAATAATAATGAAAATACCGAGCCTCTTACGATGATGGAGAGCACGGAAGGAGCCGGGGTAGCTGATACTGTGCTACCAACGATCGTAGAAGTCGCTGAACCTCCACCTAAAAAACGACCAAAGCCCCGACCGACAGCGGTTTCAAAATCAAGTGATACTCTCAAGTCCACACATTCAATGAGAACAAGATCTACAGCAAAGCTTACATAGATATATATATATATATAACTATATAGGCATTTATCGTAACTTCCACCGTTTCCTATTGCCATCAGGAGTTACTTTCCAATTGACGACACCACTGGCCAGTTCGAAATCACCTCTTCCCGAGCCTTCTTCGGTGGCCTTTACAAGATGGCGAAGTGCTTGCTGAACTTTTGAGGCATTGTCAAGCTTTCTATCAAGGGAAGGTGCCTTAATTCGTTTAAAAGCAGCAGGCTGTGGGAGAGGAGAATTGTTGAAATTAGAAAGTGGATGTGAAGGAGGGTTAGATAGACATACAGCGGTGTGAAGGTAAGTATGTTTCGGAGGAAGAGATGGCAAATGATCTGGAAGGTCCTGAAGTGTTTGAGGTAATGTGACTGGAATTGGTGTTGCATCCTCATCGTCTGAGGGTAAAATGTCGGGAGAAGGCTCTCTAGGAGGTGGTGAAACAAGCCTTGTAGACGATGGAGGAGCTACATAGAACACTCTATAAAGCATCTTTTCAGAATAAATTTTACATTATATCTGACCTTGCTTCCGTTTTCGCTTCATGCTGGCTTTTCGAAGTTCCACAGTTGTTATACCACGGTCCACGCAGACAGCGAGAGCATCATGAATGGTTGCAGTACCTCGGTTACAGAGCATTGCTGTTTCTTTGGTATGTCTTGATAAAGTCTCCATAACTGGCGTCATTTTTTAAGATGTCAAAAGAACACAAAAATAAGAAGGTAAGGATCAAAATAAGTACATGCGATTACTTCATTTTCAAGTCTTTCAAGAGTATGTGGGTCGTATCTTCTAAAACCCGCATACCTTAGCTGAGTCGCCAACAGACGACGCATAGTCTGCGAGGCCACCAAGGTTGTTATAGTTGGTGGTGGAACGACAGGGGCTGACGGTTGAGCGGGCTCTGGTGGAACCGGAGGTGGAATGGCATAATAAGCACTATAATCTGGATATCCATACGCAGTAGGAGTGTATTGATATTGCAAAGGGCCAGGGACTGGGGGAGTGTAGTTGTAGGGATAGGATGTCATTCTGCATTATTGTGACTTGAATTGTCACATCATCTATTGTGTATCGCAAGTAGATAATAAAAATAATTTCTTTTTTTCCTCTACTGATTAAAAAAAGAATCATTAAGGAACGTATTATATGCGGGTCTATCTAGAGAATTGAGTCCCACTCGTTTGTCTGTTTCAATGTCTTCTATCAAGGCCTCTGAAAAGAATAAATTGAGATCGATAAGTATGCCAATACTTTAGTGACGCTCACCTCGGGAAACATAGTCTAGTTCAGGTCTAATATATCCAAGAATAATCGCTCTAAGTGGATGATTGTAAAAGTCAGATAGGTATTCATGCATGATATGAATTTCCTAAACAACTTTGTAAGCAACAAGAACCCACAATGTATGCCGTCGACGCTTACTGCAGAGATTCTCTTATTTTTATAAAAAGGATTCCATCCTAAACTCATAACCATGGGCCTAACTTTTGAGTCCTCCTCTGTCCAAATGTCTATTCCGTTTGCCAGCGGCAAAACTTGTGCATACCCATAATAAATTCCAGGCTCTGAAACGGGTCTCAAAGTGTCTAAAGAGTCTTCAGACATATTAGCTATAATCATTGTCATTATTAAATTTAAAAAAACACCCATATCCAAAGTTGCTCACCCGTTGGGCAATTGAGATCCTTGCCACCTCTGCCAAAACCCCGTTGTACGGTTCCAGCTAGTCTTATTGGAAAAGGCTCTTTGGGACCAGAGTCATCACCCACAACGAGTGGCCTCGATTGTCTATAAGGCTCTGTGGACTGTGTAATGTCTTCCACCATGTAGATATCTCGAACGAGTCAAGTGAGTGCAACAGATAAGCAGACGGTACCGAAAATGATGTATGCACCGCGATGGATGACTAAGCGTTGAGTTTTTTTTTCTCCCCCTCTCAACACACGCCACCACCACCTCGCTATTTGTTCAAACTTTGATACCTTTTTGTTGATTGAAAGCTAATGGCAAAAAGTCTACGATCTAAAACAAAGCGTAGTTTCCGTCGCGTTAAAAGGGAATCCGGTACCTATGCTGTGGCGGACGCAACTCGCCTGGAACGATTATCATCCAAATTACACCAAAAGATAGTGACGGATAAGGATGGAGATGTGAGCATAGATGAAATTGTTGGAGAGATTGAAAAGAGCGCAGAAACTGGTGAAGGTTGGTACTGGTTTGCATTATTCGGCTTGATTCCGCCTTCGTTGCTCAAAGCTGACCACACCACCTCTTCTTAATACTCCTTTTATATATTTGTGTTTTTTGTTTTGTATCCGATGTTTATGTATTGTGTTTATCTAGTTCCTACGGCTCAAACTGAAAGCGAAGGAACGAGTATGTATCTGTTTTTTGACAAGAAGCCGTCATGTGCTTGTCTCACTTATTTACCAAAATAGACGTTTTGGATTCTAAAACTCAAAAAATATCTACTTCGGGTCCACGGCTTTCGAGACGAGACTCATGGAGAATATCCAAAGGATTAAGCCCTCATCGCAGAAATCCCAATAAAACGAATCGCTTAGGAGTCGTGGTTGCCAAACGTAGAGCCGGACGAGCGAAACGCCGTCGATGATCGATGATACCTTTTGGCCTTTGTCTGTCTATCTCAGTAAAATCATAAAATCATAAATAAAATGTGAATTGTACGAATTCACAGAAATCAAAATTCTTTGCAGGGTTCAAGTAGTAATTAATTGCCACTACTTGCGATTGACCCCTTAGCTCAGTGGTAGAGCGTGAGATTCCAGTTATAGGAACCTCCTCAAGGTCGTCCGTTCAATCCGGGCAGGGGTCACTGTTTTTTTTATTCGCATTTTTTAACCCCTTTTGTTTTTTCTTATAACGGCAGAATATAATTTACCGTTACTACTGTTTTTTTTGATGCCTTATCACAATTTATCACAAGCAGTACATATGTTTTAGCATACCAATGGCACGTTTTCTCTTATAATTAGCTTTTAAGGTAATGAGACGCTGCGGGCACACCGCACGCAGTTGCCATGTCCAGTTATACAGGATACAATCGTCGGCCAACGTATTCCAATACAGGCTATAATTCAGGCGATCCGACATATTCTAATACGGGATACAATTCAGGCGACCTGACATATTCTAATACAGGATACAATTCAGGCGACCTTTACAATCAGACCCGTTCTTATAGAAACAATGGTAGATTTAGCAACCGTGATTACGATCGAGGACGCTATCATGATCGAGTCGGATCAGGACATAGTTACAACTATAGCAACTACAACGGTTACAACACCAATTATGACGACGATTACGAAGATGATCACACTAGACCGTATGGCCCAAGACGGCGCGGCAGCTTTACTCAAACCTACCCTGATTCTCCAATCGCCACTTACAGTAATGTTCTCCCCACAACTTCAGGAAGTCAATACTACGCGGATGTACAGCAATACCCTATTACTACTAGATCTTCTAGACGGAACCCCGTCGTTATATCAGGTGAAGGCGCAACGTATGCACGTCCAGCTGTGCAATATTTAAACCCATCAAGCTCTAATTCAGGCTATAGAGCCGAAGGGGAGCGTGGCGAGACCATTCCGATTTCTGTGAGTCTCAAGCAAACCTTTGGGGTACTTGGTTATTGATTATATTTATTTTTCTAACCAACCAGAATGGGCTGTCCTACTATGAAGAAGGAATATCATTATCAACTTGGATAAGACGGCTGTTTGGATTGGGCCCCAAACGTTCGAGAGGTCATGTTGGTCGATCTGTCCACGTAAAACGCTGGGATCTGGGTGGAACATGGTTTTCCTCTTGGCCTGGTAGATCAAATGCTTCGGTTTACACCATATGAATTTCGCCCATTTGATTTTTTTTTTGTTCTTATGCTTTCACAATGTATATTAACGATGCAACGGATGCTTTTCACGGTTACTCCGTTTCTTCTGGGAAATCTCCTTCGTCCAAATCTTTCGGCTGTCACGAAGATGTTTAATCCCTTTATTTTTATTTATTTTATAACCAAGACTCACCTCTTTTGGTTCCTCATCTTCTCCATATTGTACCACATGATCGATATGACTTAGCGCATTCTCTAAAGAGTCGGTGTTTGTTAAATCAAGAGGCAAAAATTGCACCAAGGGATGATCTTCAATCTGAAAACATTCTTGCTTTAACAGTAGATTTTTTTTAAAAAAAAGAGCCAAGGAATACCAACCAACTGAACAATAGCCTTATTGAGTGTATGAAAACGCATATTGCTATTAGTTTCTTCGTTGCCGCCGAGAAGTAACATGGGGTCTGGTTCCAAATATCTAAACGCCTTCGTTTAGGACAATAATTACCATGACGTTGAAGGTATAAATACCGTTGGATATCGCGTTTCTTCCGCAACCCATTCCTAGCAGCATTTGGATCGTCAGAATCGCCCCCACCAGTAATTAAGTCCATTTTTGAAAGGATGTTAATCCAAGGAATTTCTAAATTGACCATGGCGGACATGGCTGATAGTACGCCACTAGGTTTGAAAACGCTTGTTGTATAAAGCCTGACAAAATGTTGGGATGAGTGACCCACCTAAAAAATTTATAGCGATCTTCAATGAACTGCGACTCTAGCAAGTACACCGCGCATGTTCTAAACCCAATTTGATTCAGATGCTTCACTAATGACGGTAATAGGGGATGATGTGTGTATAGTTCAATTTGTCCTGTCAAAAAGTAACATTAGAACTTGGTAAGAGTTTGTTTAAATAGAAGCTCGCTGACCGGGGCAGTCTATGAGTAAATAGTCTTCTTCATATTCTCCTAGTTCTTCATCTAACCAGTCGATGTTTTGAAGGAGGTATCTGACCTTTGGTGTAAAGCTCGAATTTAAGTCAAAGTCAACAGAGCTAACTTACTCAAAACAATAAATCAAACCTCCATTTGGACCATAATCCAACTCGTTCATGGTATCCTCTAAACTTATCAATTCTCTTATATCGATGCTCGGTTCATATTCAAAGTATTCTGCCGCTGGATCAAGATTCATAAGGTGGCCTGTTCGACGCGATGCTTGTAAATGTGTCATCATTGAAGAACAGAATGTACTCTTTCCACTTCCAGCTGGTCCAGTAACCAAAACGGCATATCGCATGTTGGAGAACGTAGACGTTCCGACTAGAGTTCCCGAAGTTATGCGCACTGGCAAGGAGTCACGGTCTAATTAGGTAAACGAGTCATCTTTGTTGTCCTGCCACAATTAACGAAGAAACATGTCGCTGCCTGATCTTTTTCCTAAAAAATCTAATGCTGGAATTATCGTTGATCCAAATACCCTTGACAGAGTCATTCCCGAGTCAAAGCGTGCGGATGGAAGGTGTGGATTGTTTTCTACTATTTTAGCTTTGCACTCCACTCAAGCACCGAATGTAGCGTTCGCAAAGAGATTAAAATTAGACCTGGATTCACGCCTCAAGAAGATGTGGGCCGTTTCAAAACCTCACGACAAAAGCAGATAGAGCAAAATACGCTTCCCAAGGGTCACATCATCGGCTGGGCTCCTCCAGAAACTACGAGTACAAGCACACGAGCCAAATCTACACCATCAGAAGTAGGAAGCAAGAGCGGGAAGAAGAATCAGAAAAAGAAAGACAAGAAGGAGAAGGAAAAATTAGATCTAATCGCTGCCAGCTGGATGGACGAGACACCCAAGCCTTCAAAGAAAAAGACCGTGACAGTGGAACCATTAACAGAGAAGAACGATAGCGACAAGGAGGATGAATTTAACAAGAAAATGGGTAAATTAAAGATATAATAATTAAAGGTATATGTATACTAATCTCGTGAACTAAAGCTTCCAGTTTGGTCTACATTATTGACCCCATTTACTCTAGATTGGAAACCCTGCATCTCACTCTATCTGATCTTGTTGAGAAGGCGCTGTGTCGACTTGGTGTCCTTGATGAACGGGGCTCCGTGACGTATTTTCTTGTTTGGAGCCCTGAGGCTTTGACTTCGAAGATTGCCCGCTCGCCTCCAAGCCAATCACTAGGAAGAGAGCAAACATGCCCAAATACACTATGTTTTTTTTGTGTGTTTATTTAACAGCTTTTGATATCTTTCAATAACTCGGGACTCACGGACTGCTTGTCGCATATTATCCCACTTTACTTTTTCCATCTCGGTCCTTAGATCTCCCAGTGTAACAGTACTCTTATTAAGTAACTCCTAAATTCCTCGATTGGTATAAGCAGCAATATAGACCTGTGGAGAACTAACCTCCACTGTGATATCTTGCCGCTTTAAATCTGCTCGAGCCTCATTTTTACGATTATCCATCTCCATTTGTATTCTGAAACCAAGTTGTGGATGAAATTAATATTAACATATTCGATGTATTGCCTACTCACTCATGCTTTAACGTCTGTATGTCTTCCTTCATCTTTCCATCTAGTGCATCAACGTCTCTTCGTAATGCTGCCAAAGAGGCTTGCACAATAGAAACTTCATTTTGTGCACTCATAGTGGCTTCTGCACGTAGTTCCGACAACGCAGCACGAAAAAGATATGCTCGCTTGATGAGAGTCAGAAATGCCTTCTGCCCTTCTAAGTACAAAACAGGCCTACATTTTCTAAATCTTCAGTGGTAAGAGCATCACGTTTAACTAATCCTATACGATCCGCCAGTAAAGCTCGAGTTGCACGCATCAGTTGGCCTGCAACCTGAGTCGGAAAAGTACGTTCCAGAGCAAGAAAGAAGGCGTGGGTATGAAAAGGAGGGTTTGAAGACAGTGGGAATCCATTAGATGTTGTAGTTGGAGCTGTCTGAGGGGGTAAAGGAAGGGAATGTGTTTGTGATTCTTTATTAGTGTCACCAGACGGGGAATTTGCTTTTGACGGGGACGGGGCAGAGATATACAAGGTTCTGGAGCTTGTAGGAGTCGAAGCTGAAGAAGATAAAGAGTCTGAAGAGGAATGTCTGGTAATTACGTGAGATAGTGGACACAAATACAACGTCTTCCTGAGCTTGACTCGGACATGATACAGTTGAGCAGAACGCATTTACTTGTACCACCCATAGACGCCCATAGACGCCCATAAACAATGTCATGCCTCTAATAACCATCCCGCAAGATGCGACGCGTCCCGCTTCGAGTTTATCAAATAGACCCAGCTCTCGCATTTCGCAGAGACCTGTATCACGTCTTTCTCAATTGTCAGTTGTAAAACAGAGTCGTCTTGCGCCACTCGTCAGAACACTCGTAAAACAAATTACCGGGGCTGAAGAAGAATCCAATCCAGGTGACTTTCAAGAAGCTTTGGGAATTGCTGTGAGACACATCGATAGTTTGAAGCAATCTGCTACAGCAGAACTGTCTCATATCGATGCCCAAATAAAAGGACATATCACCAAGGCTCGGATTAATGTACACGATGTGCTTGCAGACGCGATTCATAATACCTATTCAACCCTCAAGAAATGCATGATTCAGCCATCTACTTTTGGCGCCGCTATAAAGACATCTACCATCCCAACTATTGTTGAGTTTCTTGTCAGTACAACGATATGGTTCACATAGAGGGTCATCGCTAAATTGTATTCAGCTCCATCTTTCTTCTTCACCCGATAAACCTACTCTGGCTTACGCCCTATACATTTCACAAAGGACAGATCCTGAACAATCGAAAGTCGAATCGACTTGGTTAAAAATATTGAACGAAGAGCCGTTCGAGGGCCAGCATTGGGAGGGAGCCTATGGCCTGCCATCAGGAAGTATCGTAAAAACATGGGATAGCGAAAATTCAGAAACAGACCTATCTTTTGAAGAGAGTG